CGAGTCAATCCGAGATGGCCCGAGTGAAGTTTCATGCAAATGTTTCGTACGGAAAAAAAATCGCGGGCCGTCTCGACTTAATCGACCCGAAAATCTCATATTGCAGAATTCAGGTCAAAAGGTCATCAACAACTTCTGATCTGATCTGAGAACGTCGCTGTCTAATTTTTAAAAATACATTGACGTTACCATGCTAATACTGATGGGTCGTTTAAAATGACATAATATTTGATTGAGCTGCACGAGTAAAAAAGTGTTATTTTAACTTGAGTTACATACTGTGGCAATTTTTATTTGTCTGGGTTTTGCATAATTACCTAGGCCTAGCTACAAAAAATATACGCTTTGTGGGGAAAGCACAGAGAGTAAGAAAAATCGCTCTCGGGGCGTTTCATCAAATGAAACAGGGTGACAGTTATTTTCAAATTAAGAGAAGAGCTGAGATTTTCAAATTAAGAGAAGAGCTGAGAAGAGGCACCTCTAAAATACTGGATGCCATAAGACCTACCAAAATGGCAGAGCACCAATGAATGTAATGAGGCCTAAGCCTAGTTATTAATATCAGGCATAGTAATCTGCAGATTCTTGATTACAAGACTAGACCAGGTTAATTACATGTAATGTCGAAATGATTATTTATTATTATTAATTATTGTTATTATGTTACTAAGGGGAAATAACAGAAGATATCCCCCCTGGGCTAGTTATTAATTATAGGCCTAGTAAATAGTATGGTTTTTCATTACAAGGCTTAGGTCAAGGTATTTAATGCTGAAATTATTATTATTATTATTATTATTATTATTATTATTATTATTATTATTATTATTATTATTATTATTATTATTATATTATTATTGTTATTATTATTAATTAATATTATGTTACTAAAACCAACCTGTAGGCCTACCTTAAGGGGAACTTAGACAATTGAGGAATTAGAGAACAATTAAAAAATCGACGCCGAAGGGAAATAATACAAAAGATATTCCCCCTGGGCTAGTTATTATTTATAGGCCTAGTAATGTTCTTCATTACAAGGCTTAGGCCAAGGTAATTAATGCTGAAATTATTATTATTATTATTATTATTATTATTATTATTATTATTATTATTATTATTATTATTTAGTAACATTAATTACATTACAAGGATAGTTTGGCCAAGTTCAATAACGCCGCCGAATGGTATATTTTATTTATGTAATAATATTTCTCGTATGCACTCTATTTTTTATTTCATGCTTTAATTTTTTCCATTTTTTTTTTCAAAATTTCAATCAACGTCTGTATGAAAAGCGTGACTTGGTGTCAGCCTAGGACCCTAGTCCTATACTAGGTAGGACTTGAAATAGTCTGCTGAGTTAGGCCCATAGTTTATCATTTTTCTCTCTAGCATTTGGTATTACTGTACCTATCAACACTTTATAAAAGGGGGTACTAGCTGTTGTTGTTGTGGATATATACTAACATTATAAACATCCAAGAAGGTCACAGTTAGTTACACACGTACATCCCATAAATCCGTAGGATATCATAGGCCGACCGTAGGTAAACATAGAAAGAACAATACTGTACTGTAATAGTAAAACTCGAGCATCACGACATTGCGAAGTGTCTGCTCTTGTTCCTCGTATCGAACTGAGTCGAGTCAATCCGAGATGGCCCGAGTGAAGTTTCATGCAAATGTTTCGTACGGGAAAAAAAATCGCGTCCAGCCTAGGCCTCTGATACCCTGCTACACCTGAGACCTTCCGTAGGGTAGGGTAGGCTAGGCCTACTATCTACCCTTGTGAGGCCTAGCTCTAGGCCTTGAATAAATATGAACTAAAAAACTATGTTTATATTCACTCTTTTGATTCATTATAGAGTTCTGGGAATGTTAATCCTGAGGATTTTATCTGATTCGTCTCACAGCCCTT